CTGTGAATCTGCATGTACTTTGAGAGAATCCTTTTAAGTGTAAACTAGTAGCTTGACAAGTTTGACGCTTCTAGCCCCAGTGGATATAAGCGGAATCATGGTACGAGATTAATTTACGAGTAAAATCATATACTTCACCTCATAGAGCCCAAAAAAACAAATAATAAGGACGAAAAAGATTTTTTGAAATGATATAAATTGATTCTATATGAGTTGGTAGTGACCTATCCCTACACTTTTCCCATTCAATATTTAGTTTTGTTACATCCCGTATGTAGCCATGGCTCAACAGCTTTGAGTAGAGATCACCTGAGTGTATGACTATTCTTCATTCTTTATTTCGCGTCGACCAATCTGGTTAATTACGCAAGAGTATATCATGTAGCTAGCATCCTGTTTTGGTTGGTTACGTTTTATTCTTTCTCTCTTTATCCTCTACTTTGACCCGCGGTTTTCATACTTTTTTATTTCGCACCGTCTTTCAATGTTAGTCTTGCTATTGTCAGCCCACCATACTTTATTCAGCCGTTCATAGATGAGACACTTGGTAATGTTATCCTTCCTTTTCCCTTCCGTTTCGGGGCATCTAATTTTGGCGTTGTAGAGTGCAAGCGTTTTATAATTTAGAGACAGTCTGAGTCCTCTTTAGAACACTAAAAGTTTGTAAATCGAATAACAATTTAGTGAACAGGCAACCAAAGATAATGTGTCTATTTTGCCAAAATCTCTAACTTTTGTAAGATTCACGAATTCTAGTGAGTATTATTTTATCTCGGCTTTCATTAAATTGTAAAACTTGGGTGAACGGCATCAATGAAAGAAGATTGCTTGTGTTGTTGGATTTTAAAAAATTCCTTGTTGGTTGTTGTTGGAAAGTGGGAGTAATGATTTTCTAGGAGCCAAAGAAAAGATTGTGCTATAACAGTTGAGCTCAAGTCCTTTACTCACGGACCTTTGGGTCCGTTGAATCTGTGATTGACGCTTTTCTTGTCTGCATTTTGGAGCCAGGACATGTAAGCAAAATAATTTTATTATGTGAGCCAAGACTTAACCCTAAACTGGCTAAGCACAATATTTCTTTGGATTCAACTTAAACCATTCTACGAAATCCTTCCCTCCAAAAATCACAGGAAACTTATGCTACTGATAAATGTTTCTTTTAATCACAAATTTATACGAACAAACGACTAACTCAAGCCTACCAGAACGATGGTCCCATTCGTCAGTCTGCAGTCAAAACACCTCGCCGTAGAGACGCAAGTTCCGTTGCTTCTTGGTTCCCTCAGGAAGCCCTCGGCACAGACGCACTTATTTTGAGCGCAGGTCCGACGAGGTACAGACTTCCTCTCAGCTGACTTCATGGCAGCTATGCGAAGATCCTCACACGTAGAAGGGCATGTGTCAGTCTCGTCGAAAACAGTGCCTGGCTCACAGCACTTTTGGTCGCTCATACATGGCTCCAGTTTAGACAGGGCATCTTCAGCTAGACAACAAGAATCAGATAATTAGCTTAAAGTCAACATGATCAAATAAAAGTGTATGCAATTTAATGAAATTCGGCGGCCGAATACTTGGAGCATAGACGTATTCAGCCAACTTTAGGTCTTATTATGCTAATTACAAGATTGGCGTATGCT